AAGCGAATCTCCTGTCTGCGGGGGTGTAACAGGGACGTCTTCTGACCGCCGGCGAGACGAGTCTGGCAGCAGAATTAGAGGCCATGACACACGATCAGGTAGGACTTTTTTTCATTACCATTTTATTTCCTGTTTTTGGTCGTTGTTTGTCGCTTCCATTTGTGTACAATAAGAAAAAGGAATGAAGAAGGATATTTATACAGGGTCTAAGAGGCATTTTAGAGAAAATTAAAGCAAGATTTCTTTTAGGTTTTTTTCTGATAAAAATTTTTAATATCAAGTATCTAACCAAGTAAAAATTTAATTTAATAAATTTTTAATAATTAAAACTTTAATAAAAATTAATCACGTATCATTCATCTGTCCTCGTTATGTTTGTGTTGTGGGGATTAAAAAGAGTTCGACACCACGCTTGTTCCTTTGGGATGCTAGTATGTAGCTTATGTGCTTTTCTTTATTTTTAGATGGATAGCCTTCGAGATGAGACTGTAGCTAAGGTACGCAACTTAAGCACCCTTTTTGCACCTTTTTTAAACTGTCACGTATCACTCACCGCTTTTTACAAATAATTTAACAATATTAAAGAGTAACTGATCAATTAATAATATCCGTTTGGCGTTTCGATCTAAATTTTTGGCTCTATCGATGACTCTCTAAAAATAATAATCAATGGTAATTTATTTTTGGTTTGAAAGAAATATTTGCACGCTTCTAGTTAAAAGTTTTTGCATGCGCACATGACTTTACTACTGTACATAGACACAAACTGCGTTGTGTCGGCAAACAATTTTCAACTAGAATTGTCCTTGTTATAGATCCAACAAGCCCTAAAGGAACAACAGGACGTGAACGCACAACTAAAGGCTTATATCGACGGGATACTGTTAAATATCGTCGAGAATTATCCGCAATTGCTCGAAGTTAAACAACAAAAAAATAAATCTACGAAAACTTGAGGGATTACTATCAATTTTTTAATATACACATACATAATAATAAAAAATAAACAAACAAACGCAATACATACTTAAATAGAAGGGGTTAAAAATTGAAATATAACATATATTATATATATTTAAAAAAAAAACTATTACTCTGTTAAGTATGAATGCACAACGTTGCACAGCACTTATCGAGACAGTGCAGTGTCTGTTCCGCCCTCCGTCCGTTTTTGTGATTTAGATTGCTGTGATTATTGGACAAATACTATCTCAAATTAATTAATGATTAAACAACACAATGAATTTTTATAAATGCTCTTTGCAAAGGTGCCTATTAATAATAATAATAATGTAACTACTACCTAGGAACCATTGAAATACTTTCAATTTTATTCGTTAATAGTGTCGAGAAAAATGTTGTTGTTGTTGTTGGTGTCAGAAATTGTGTATATTTTATTACGAAAAATTTAATAGAGATTGCGTGTATTATATGTATATTAAAGGTGTTATTACAATTANGCAATTTTACTTGCTTTTCGATGCGTGTTTTTATTGTATTTAAAGTTTTATTTATTTAATAGTATTGTGAATTAGTTTCGCTTCTTAATTTTTTACAGATCGATGATAAACGAGAGGCGGAGAGGACATGGAAGTTCGTTTTGATGCTAGCGTAAAAGAAGTTGTTCGATGTGATGTTCTTTCTATAAATAATTTTGCAGATAATTGAGGTGAGCATAAATACATGCTATAATTATTAGTGAGAGCATACAGTACATTTATTTTGTATTAGCTTTAACATTGTATTATGCACGTTATTTACTAGGGAAGCTAGATTATAATATTTTTTAATACTCATTCATAAAATTTCATTTCACAGGAACATTATAAAAATTCTGGATGCCATTAAGTTACAGACCGTTGGTTACATCAGTCCTCCTTCGTTTCAGGGAGTAGCTGTACCTATAGCCCAAGGGAATGCACGAAAGTGATTTTTTTTCCATTGAGAATGAAGACAGTATGTTTTTGCTGAAGGAAGGATTCATGACAATGAATTGGTAAGTACTAGTATCAATTAAAAACAGTAAATGAGGTCCAGTAACTTTAATTTCTTAGCCATTTGTTACTTTCAATAGACAACTTTCAAACAACGTTTCAGAAATGGCAGAAACAGAACAGCAAAAGTAATGTGGAACTGCTCTTTTCAACAGTTTGAATGAACTTTACCACCACATTGCTACTTGAAAATAATATTGATTTACTTGCTTTAAAGTGGTAATTAATTACTTTTTCTTGCCCGTTTCTATAGACTGCCCAACATATGAGAAGGGGGAGACTGCTGGAAATTAATTTGGAAACCGCTGAAACAATAGATTGCAGTGGCATCTCTCCTGGCTTTGGCTTGCTCGTTACACATTTAGACTTTAGAATATTAGTTTCTGCAATTAATTAAGGTGAGAATGCATAAGATAATTATTGTGAATTGCTCTTTATTAATCTGTTGTGGTATTTCTTTTAAAACTTGTCTATTCACAGTGTAAATTGTCGTTATCGTGAATGTATGGTATTCTCACGATTATCTATTGTCTGCAGTATAAATTGACGTTACGGCTACAGTACATCTATGGTATCTCATTTAACAATTATCTATTGTCTACATCATAAATTGACGTTATGCATCTATGATTATTTCACATTTATCTATGTCATGATGTAAAGTGACGTTTCTCGCCATTTTATAATTCAATCTATTTTACTTGCTTTTTGGTACTTGTTATTAGGTGTGTTTAATTTATAGTGTAATTAATATGTCTTTTTTGTCGATTTCTGCAGATTATCCAATAAATGAGAGAATTAATGTTCAGCTTGGTCTTACTGAAACAACCAAAGTCTACATGGGTGTGGTCTATTGTGAACTGTTTTCTTGATTTGCTGTTTTCGTCTTCGCCTTGCAACATTATGCAGTTAATTTTCAACCGAAGAGAGAAGAGCAACTGGAGATTTATTTGAATTCCACTGAAACAACAAATTTTCTGCTATGGATTTGAATTTGGTTTGCTCTTCACATCTGCAAACTTTGAAATGTTACAGTTACAGTTAATGAAGGTGAGAATACTTGATATAATTAATTTTAATTGCTTTTTATTAATCTGTTTGCCACCGTATCTGTTTCAGATCGACGTTGGAGAAGACAAAGATGACCCCGTAGTTGAAATAGTTCTTTATCTTGCATGCTCTATCTAGTAGAATTCATTAAGTTCATTTTATTCAAATTAATTTTTTATTTTGCATGTTTTTTTGTTTTTTTAGTAGTTAATTTTATTTAGTTTTTATTTTGCATGCTTATTTTTGTTCATTTTATTTGAAGTAATTGTTGATTGTAGATGTTTTTATTTTTTTTTTTATGTAGTAGTGTAAATAACACTTTTAGTAGTTGTAGTATAGTCTAACATGTCTCTTGCTTACCTCTTCGCTTAGCTTACTGCATATTCTTACTA